AAAGTAGGTCAAGTTTAATTCTTCCTATCATTATCATTATCATTAAAAGTAGGTCAAGTTTAATTCTTCCTATCATTATCATTATCATTAAAGCAGGTCAAGTTTAATTCTTCCTATCATTATCATTATCATTAAAGCAGGTCAAGTTTAATTCTTCCTATCATTATTATTACCATTATTTTATTATCTCAAACAATTGACAAAAAAAAAATTTTCCATTTATAATATTTTATTTACGCATAATAATTTTCATTTTAGGATTTATGTTAGTAAAATGAATGTGAAATATTGGAATGAATTCAATTAGATTTTGATAAATATTAGGTACCAATTAATTGGATTTATGCGCTTATTTTTCATGGGCGCAAAAGTGGCAAAACTGTAAGCGATGCATTCACCGCTAAATTTCGTGATGTTTGTTTTGTTTTATTAATTAAAGAAATTAATACTACTACCTTATAGAATTAGTGCTAAAGCTCGGAATTATTGGAAGTAGTTTTAATAAATGGATAATGAATTATTCGGAGTTTCCTACTTAATGAATTGAAAATTGAATTAATTAATTTTAAGAAAGTAAAAAATTTTCGATAACAACCTCAGACATTATGCAATTATGATTGGGTTCCAATACCATTAGCATATCCCAAGGTAAAAATAACTAATTATAGCAATTTTTAAAAATTTTCCTATCCTCATTTTAATGTGTATTCAATATCATAATCCAATCATTTATTTTCATTTCTCATCCAATCTTACTAATTAATTATCTTCACTTGAAGTGATATTAGCTTAACTTAATTTCGATTAATTTGAATTCAATTGAATACAATTATTATTCATTTATGCATTAATTTAATTGCATGTAATTTTAATTTCAACTGCAAATTATTTGATATTTTTAATTCCAAATTTTAATAATTATCCAAAATATATTACAGCTGATATTCTTAGCTGTTTATGTTTATTTTGCTATATGCTTAATTTCAGGATAATTTATAATTACTGGACATGATCCATCAAATAGAAGCAGCGTATATTTTTAAATGACATTTCTTTGGTATTATTATTAAAATAATTTTTTCCTGAAAATAATCTTTAATTAAATGAAAAAATTTGGATCGATTTAATACTACCATGTGTTACAATGATGAAATTTATGATATTTTGTGGGATTGATGAAAGTAGCGGAAGATCTTTTGAATCCATTTAATGAAGATGATAATAATTTCGAATGTAATTTTCTAATTGAAAAAAATTTACCTGTTCATTTTCAATTTCTTTTTTTTTGTCTGAAAAAAAAGAATGCAACAATTCCTTTTATTACTCTTTTTTTTGTCAAAAAATTTTAAATTATTCATTTAAATATTTCACTTTTATAGGTTTCATTATGTATCGTTAATGATGCATCCAATAATGTGCCAAAATTGGAAAAAGATAAATTTTAGCTAAGTAATGAAATGAGTGAATTTTATTGTAAAGAATTCACTGATAATATGATTAAATCATTCGTTGGCTATGCAATATTATCATTGTGGAAGAGTTGATAGGATAGAGAGAAAAAAAAAGGCTAAAAATTTGTTAAAAAAAAAAATGCTAGAGAAAAACATAAATTTGCTTATTTGCTAACAAAAAAAAAAAACGCATAAATTTAAATTTGATTAAAAAAAGTAAATGATT